GTCATCCCTCTTCTACATACTGTTCAATGACGTGTTCCTCTGGTGTGACAGCACTCTCTTTCTTCCTTATAGCATTTGAGAAGCAGCCTAGTATACCAGTTAGGCTCTGGAAATCTTAGGCTCATATAGAATAATTGTTTTGAATAGCTTGATGAATTAAAACTTTCCCACTATGTCAATCCAGTGATCTCATGTTAGTAACTTGGCACACAATCTGTAAACAAATAAATACATGTTGAATGTCAAAAGGATGAGTAAATGATTTAACTGTTGATTAAAGTGGTGATGGACTGTTGCATTGACTGAGTGCTGCTGAGTCCATGCTTTGCTTCGGTAGGTTGTGATGGCTGTGATGAGATATGACAGTTGTTTTCTATCAGCTAAGTGCTCTGGGAAAGTGACAAACACATTACTAAGCACAGCAAACGCCAAGTGGTCAGGATCAGGAGTTCTCGGTGTTTTGCTCTTCTTTACTGACAGACTAGGAATCCAGTTAATGAAATACTCCTACCATTTATATCTCCCATGAGTATCTTAAGGCTATATCTATTTGCCCAAGCTTCAACCATCCTCTACAATCATCCTACAATAGTCGCCTCAGGGGATATGCCTACTTCCGCTCTTGCTACCACCAATCTGTTCTAAATAGGTGCCTGTCATTCTGTATCAGCCTAAGTGTTTCCTTTAGGGCACTGTCACAAATTTGGTTGTCTACATAGGCAGGCATTTTCTGTTTGTCTCACTAGACTGTGAGCCCAGCAGGACAGGGACCTTTCTTAGTCACCATTGTAGCTCATCTCCACTCTCACCTAGTGCCTAATTTATAGAAAGCTATCCACAAGTGGGAACGATCCAAGATGGCCGATCGATAACATCTCCGGATTGCAGCTCTCAGTGAAAGTGCAGAGAACTAGAGGATGCCACACTTTGAGACAAATTCTGGTCGCTTATGGAGCAGAAGATTCCCAGTGGAGGAGCCACACGGGTTGCCAGCGTGACTCTTGTGGCCGGCGTAGAGGTTTCGCCAGCACCTCGGTGCAGCAGCTCTCGGAGCAGAGTAAACAGGGCTGGCTCCCCTTCTGACCGAGGTTTGCAGGACCCACACGGGTCCCCAGCACGACTCCTGAGGCCAGCGCAGCGGCTGTGACAGCTCTCGGCACAGAGTAAACAAGACTGGTTCCCCTTCTGACCGAGGTTTGGAGCCCCGGGAAGGCAGAGTCGCCTATTACGAACACAAGAAGGAAGCCAGACAGGAGAATCCTGGGCAGAAAAGCACCATCAGTCTTAACACTGCTGTTCTGGCCCTGGGAACTAACAACTTGGACGCCCACTCAAGAGACCTAATCTGAAAGTAGGTAATTTCAAAGATGACAGAAGGATAAATTTACAATGATAGGAAGAAACCAGCGTAAAAAGGCTGAGAATACTCAAAATCAGAACACCTCTCCCTCTAAAGATGATCACAGTTCCATATCAACAATGGAACAAGGCTTGATGGAGAACAAGCACATCCCAATAACAGAATCACACTTCAGGGAATGGATAATAAGAAACTTCTGTGAGTTAAAAGAACACGTTGTAGCCCAACGTAAAGAAACTAAGAACTTTGAAAAAAGGTTTGACGAAATCCTATTGAGTATAGACAACTTAGTGAGGAATATAAGTGAATTAATGGAACTGAGGAATACAATATGGGAACTCTGAGAAGTAGGCACAGGTTTAAACACTCGAATTCTTCAAGCAGAAGAAGGGATATCAGAGGTCAAAGTCCAACTTAATGAAATAAAACGAGAAGACGAGATTAGAGAAAAAAGGATAAAAAGGAATGAGCAAAGTCTCCAAGAAATGTGGGACTATGTGAAAAGACCAAATTTACGTTTGATAGGTGTACCTGAATGCGACAGAGAGAATGAATCCAAGCTGGAAAATAGCCTTCAGGATATTATTCAGGAAAACTTTCCTAAACTAGCAAAGCAGGTCAATATTCAACCCCAGGTAATAAAGAGAACACCACAAAGATATTCCTCAAGAAGAGCAACCCCAAGGCGCATAATCGTTAGATTCACCAGGGTTGAAATGAAGAAGAAAATACTAAGGGCAGCCAGAGAGAAAGGTCAAGTTACTCACAAAGGCAAGCCTATCAGACTTACAGCAGATCTCTCAGCAGAAACTCTACAGGCCAGAAGAGAGTGGGGGCCAATATTCAACATCCTCAAAGAACAGAACCTTCAGCCCAGAATTTCATATCCAGTCAAACTAAGCTTCACAACTGAAGGAAAAATAAAATCTTTTATGAACAAGCAAGTACTCAGAGATTTTATTACCACCAGTACTGCTTTACAAGAGCTTCTGAAAGAAGCATTACACATAGAAAGAAACAACCAGTATCAGCCTTTCTAAAAATATACCAAAAAGTAAAGAGCATCAACATAAAGAAGAATTTACATCAACGAATGGATAAAATAGCCAGTTAACATCAAATGGCAGTAACCCTAAATTTAAATTGACTAAATCCCCCAATCAAAAGACACAGTCAAAACCCAATGGCATGTTACATCCAGACCTGTTTCACATGCAAGGATACACAAAGACCCAAAACAAAGGGATGGAGAAAGATTTACCAACCAAATGGAGAGCAAAAATAAATAAATAAATAAATAAATAAATAAAAAGCAGGAGTTGCAATTCTCGTATCGGATAAAATAGATTTTAAAGCAACAAAGATATAGTGGTAAAAGGATCAATGCAACAACAAGAGCTAACGATCCTAACACCCAGATACATAGAGACTTAGACTCAGTGAGACAGAAAATTTAATAAGGATATCAAGGACTCGAACTCAGATCCGGAACAAGTAAACTTAATAAATATTTATAGAGCTCTCCACTTCAAATACACAAAATATACATTCTTGTCAATACCACATCACACCTACTCATAGTTTTAAATGAAACATTGATTGGCCATTAATAATACACATTTTTTTTTTTCAGAATAAAGCAATATTTCCGTTCACCCTCCCTCTTTCTCTTCCTCTTTCTTCCTCTCCTTTACTCATTTTTTTTTTCTTTCCTTCTCTCAAAAAAAGAAAAAAAGAAATCAACTTGTAAACCTCTAGATCCAGGTCGGCAATGTCTCTCTCATTGCTTGATTTCCTTCCTTCCCTTCCCTCCCTCCCTCCCTCCCCCCCTTCCTCCCTTCCTTCCTTCCTCCCTCCCTTCTTCCTTCCCTGCCTTCCTGCCTTCCTCCCCCCCCCAAAAAAAAAGCTATCCACAAGTAGTCAATGAATAAATGTGCATTAATTCTCAAAGGCACAGTGACCTCGCCTTAATTCACTTTTGTGTCACCAGTACCAAGGACAATGCCTAATGCAAGGCAGACACTCTATGCATGTTTATTCCATGTTGGGTTCAGTTGATGAGGGGATGACTCGCCTCTCCAGATTTTACAGAAAGCTACATTTGAATCTTCTCTATTCTGCCATTTACCAGCTCTGTGACTTTAAGCCCTGATTTCCTTAGCTGCAAAATCGAATCAAATGCTTATTTTGTAGGGTTTTTGATAAAACGCCTGTGAGGGCTCTGCAGAGTGTCTGACGTAGTGTGTGTTCGTCGTGGCTCCCCTAGCACTGGGGCAAGGTTCAAGGAAGAAATCTAAAAGGAAAGAATAAAGTGATTCCTGGGTCGGGCGCGGTGGCTCACGCCTATAATCCAGCACTTTGGGAGGCCGAGGCTGGTGGATCACGAGGTCAAGAGATCGGGACCATCCTGGTCAACATGGTGAAACCCCGTCTCTACTAAAAATACAAAAATTAGCTGGGCATGGTGGTGCACGCCTGTAGTCCCAGCTACTCGGGAGGCTGAGGCAGGAGAATTGCTTGAACCCAGAAGGCGGAAGTTGAGGTGAGCCGAGATCATGCCATTGCACTCCAGTCTGGGTAACAACAGCGAAACTCCGTCTCAAAAAAATAATAATAATAAAATAAAAAATAAAGTGACTCCTTCAGAAGGGGAGAAAACCCAAACAGGTTTTGCATACAAAAAGTCACAAACAACTCCCCCAAGTGGCCCTTGTTTTAATCAAATCTCTGTTTTAAAATGTTGAAGAAAGGGGCATCGCATGGGGAAGAAGGGAGGGTCAACTCTGTTGCCCTGTTCCAAGACCTCTCCAGCAATGACTTGACAGCTACTCATCATTTTGAGCTTTTTAACTATGTGGTAATTAATATTTATAAATAAAGTGCAGTGGTTGCTCCCAATGACTAGGCACCATTTAGAATCTGTCCATCCATTTATCCATTCAGCACATCATAATTGAAACTCTTCAGTATCTTGTATTGCTCTTGTGGTACAAACTTGGACCCTAAACACAGTCTGCAAGGGTCTGGCCCTTGCCCCTCATTTTTGCCTGATGTTACCCCAATCTCACCCTTGTTCCCCAAGCTCCCACTGTTTGAGCTCTTCTTTAAGTTCAGCCAGAGGACCTTTGCACATGTTCTTCCCTTTGCCTGGATGACTCCTGGGTTAACTGAATTCGGCTACAGCTCAAGTAAGGGCACTTCTTCAGACACTTCCCTGACCATGTAGCAGTCTTAGCTCTCAAGTCTTCTAGTCATCCACAGTATAGGCTTACTTGTAATTACACACCAAATTGTTTAGTCGTTTTGCTTATGTTTTCTCCCTGTACTCTGAGAACAAGACAATGAATAGCTTGGCACATGGTGCCCCGCATGTGGCAAGTGCTCAATAAATGTGGGTTGAATGAATGAATGGATGAAACGTTCCCAAAGCTCCTGAAGGGATCTGACAATCCAAGAGTGAGGAAGCCAGGTTTCTTCCCCCTCCTCGGGGAAATCAGGGGTGGCGGGGGACACAGATCAATAAGCTAAGAAGCAAGTCTCGCGCCTCTCTCCAGTTGGTGCGCGATTCCTCAAACCAACCCTCCGCCAGTCATGGAGGGTTCGGAGGAAGGGGTGGGTTTAAGGGCGGATGCTCTAGGCATGTGCTGGGTGGTCGATCAGCTGAACAATGGTCAGATCCTGGTGGAGATCCCAGATCCTCAGCCAGGCGGCCCGAGCCCGCGCTGCCCGGCTCGGGCCGGCCGCCAGCTGACTCCTTTCGCCATCCCTCGTGTCCCACGCGGCGCGCTTTCTCCAGCGCCCGGGCGCGCCAGCCAATGCGCCCGGGCCTCGGCAGCTGCTCCCCGGCCAGGGCGCTCTGGGCCAGCTCTGGCGCCGGGCGCTCGTGATTGGCGGCCCCCAGCCCCAGCCCAGCGTGCCCTCTTACCCGGGGCGAAGTCCAGTCCCCGCCCGCTGCCTGGGCTCTGCCCCCTCCTCTCCGCCCAGCCGGTGCCCGGGGCCCGGATCCGGCCGAGCACTTCCCTCAGGGGCCGCAGAGCAGCAGGGTGCAGGCGGCTGTGGTTGGCGCGGTCCTCGGCCGGCCGGGCCATGAAGGTCGAGTTTGCGCCGCTCAACATCCCGCTGACGCGGCGGCTGCAGACGGCGGCGGTGCTGCAATGGGTCCTGTCCTTCCTGCTGCTGGGTAAGGACCCCGCGCCCCGTGCCGCGGCGCCTGGGCTCGGTCTCCTCCCTCGGGACGGTCGGGATACCAGGACCTGCATAAAACCTTCCAACCCTCGTTCCCCTGTCGGCCCGAGCGAGCAGGTCAAAGAGGGCATATGGAACTAACGTGGGCTCTGGTTTCTTTCCTCAGAACCTCATCGCGAGCGACTGTTTAACCCACTTTATTTTACCCTGTGCTATTTTTTTAAATTGAAGTGCACCTTGCCTACAATAAAAGGTGCGGTTGTACGGATACAGCTCGATGACTTTTGTCAACTGTATTCACCGAAATGTAACCATGACCCCACCAAGCGCTTGAGCTCTTTAGCCCTCAAAAGTTGGCAAACTTGTTTCTGGAACTGTTGATTCATAGATGGAAAAGTAATGTCTCCGTAGTTCAAACCTGATTCCTTCCTCGTGACGGAAAGCAGTGTTCACTTTTCCGTTTTGTAGATCTCCTGGATGCAGAGAAGTACCTTTCTGCAAAGAAGGCTGCACCACTCACTGCGTTTCGTTGAACGATTTCTCTCTGGAAATAATTTGATCCAGCAGCGTGTGTGTTTTGGTTGGTTCCCAAGTTGAGCCCATGAAACATATAAGAGCCGAATTATTAGATGGGGCAAAGATGTTTACCTGGGTGGTTTGGGTTTTTTCCTTCATATTTGTTCTCCTCTTGAAGTAAATTGAGGTGATGTGGGAGGAGAGAGGAATTTGGGGAGACCCTTCTTTGGAAACATAAACTCTTCTGAAAACTAAGAGCATGTATATGATGTAAGATCATGCATTGTACAGCTTTGGGTGGTCATAATAGTATAAACCTTGCCTGGGAGAGTTTTACACTTTTATTTATTTATTTATTTATTTATTGACAAAACTCATGACTACTTTTGTGCCAGAGTTTTACACTTTTAAAACTGCTTTCACATTTTGAAAGCCTGAATCAGTGGTTCTCAACCCTAGCTCTACACGAGAATCGCCAGAGAAGCTTCTAAAAAATGCAGATGCCCAGGCTCCATCCCTAGAATTTCTAGTCATTTGTTTCATAATAAAGCTGGCGCACCTTTTTTCCCCCCGTCTTTTCCTTTTTAAGAACTCTCTGACTGGGCGGGCGCAGTGGCTCACGCCTGTAATCCCAGTATTTTTCCAAGCCAAGGCAGGCGGATCATGAGTTCAGGAGTTTGAGACCAGCCTGACCAGCATGGTGAAACCCCATCTCTACTAAAAATACAAAAATTAGCCAGTGTGGTGGCGCAAGCCTGTAATCTCAGCTACTCAGGAGGCTGAGGCAGGAAAGTCGCTTGAACCCAGGAGATGGAGGTTGCAGTGAGCAAAGATCGTGCCACTGCACTCCACCCTGGGGGAATAGAGTGAGACTCCATCTAAAAAAAAAAACCCCAAAAAGCAAACAAACAAAAAAACAAAACAAAAACAAAAAACAAAAAACAAAACCTCTCCAAGTGACTCTCTTGAGCTGCTAGGTAGAGTTTACCAAAAAAAAGTAATTCAAAATGTCAACTCATTAAGTCCTCAAAGGCCACATTGAGGCAGGGTTGATAACATTACACCCCTTTTTGCTCTGGATCAAAGCACCATGGAGATAACAACACACAACCTTATCCAGTGCTTGGTATGTGCTAGGTGCTGTTCTAAGCAACATCCACAATCAACTACGCAATCTGTACAACACCCCTATGAGGTAAAGACTATTCCTGCACTCATGGTACGGGAACTAAGAGGTGAAGGGAATTGCGCATGGTGATGCAGCTAGCAGTTCGCGATAGAGCTGGTTGCAAACCCACTTCTGCTCCCAAGTCTCTGCTTTAGCACTAAACTGCTCTCTTTAATGGCCTGAACGTGGAGCCCGACTTCCTAACTGATCACCCGACACATCTCTGATAGCCACTGTCCTTTTCTTTCATGGCCCTTTTCATTGCTTGTATCTGTGTATAACTGCGGTGATTTGACAGAGTTCTGTATGGCTGTCCTCATCTACACGCTCAGTGAGGGAACACCCAGTATGTGTCTGGCCCGTGGAAGATATACACAAATATTTTTTGAGATATATAAAAATACTTGTTGAATGGGGCTGTTTCTGGTCTGTCATCCAGAAGAGAAGATATTCATCCCCCAGCTGCCTAGAGTATTAACTCATGTAATCCTGACAGCAACTGGGTGAGGGAGGGACCACCCCTTACCCTCGTTTTACCAAGGAAGGAACTAGGAGGTAAAAGTAAACTGCTCAAGGTCATGTGGCTCAGCAGTGGCATGTGAGTAGATTATGACAAGGACATGGCAGGTGCTCAATGACCTGTGTCTAATTTGAATGAAACTGCAATGGCTCTAGATCCAATCACTTCAATATTTTTGTTTCACACATTTGACGTTTGTGTTGGCTGGGGCATATTATTTTGTATTATCATATATCTTGGAAATTATATTGTGGGAAGTTTCAAACATATGGAAAGTAGACAGAAGAGTATGAATTTCCATATACCCAGTACCAAGGTTTATAATTATTTAATAACTTGCCATATCTATTTTACCCATTATTTAGCAAAAATACTTTAAAACAAATCAAATTTTTTTGTATAGGCATTTTTTTTTAACTTTTAGGTTCAGGGGTACATGTGCAGGTTTGCTATATAGGTAAATTGTGCATCATGGGGATTATACAGATTATTTCATCACGTAAATCATTGGCGTAGTTCCCAATAGGTAACTTTTCCTCATCCTCCTCCACCCTCCACCCTCAAAGGAGGCCACAGTGTCTGTTGTTTCCTTTGTGTCTGTGTGAACTCACACATTATGATATTTTAATTCTAGTTTGCCTATTTTAAAAATAAGTATTTTGTGTGTAACCACAGTACTCTTCTCATACCTACCGAAGTTTACAAATATTGCTTAAAATCATCTAAAACCAAGTTCAAGTGTCCTAAATTCTGCCAAAACTATGCTTTTTTTTCTTTTTGGTAGAAACAGGGTCTCCTTATATTGCCCTGGCTGGTCTTGAACTCCCAGGATCAAGTGATCCTCCTGCCTCAACCTCCCAAAGTGTTGATATTATAGGAGTGAGCCACTGCATCCAGACAAAAAACACTTTTACTGGCAATTTGTTGGAACGCAGATCCAAATAAGAGCCTCATGTTCTATTCGGTGTTTATGTCTTTTGTGTAGAACAGTGCCTCCCATTTGTTTTTTTGTCTATGAAGCCTTGAAGAAGGCATGACATAGGTCCTGCAGAATGTCTCATTTTGTGAGTTTGCTTCTTTGTAGAGTTACCTTGTTCCTCTATCCCCTGTATTTCTTTTAGAAGATGGAGGTTAGAGTTAAATGCTTGATTAGATTTAGATGAAACCTTCTGGGTAAGACTTCTTCCTAGGTGTTGCTTGATTAGATTTAGATGAAACCTCCTGGGTAAGACTTCTTCTTAGGTGTTGCTGTGCACTTCACATCACATCACATCACATCAGGATGCACACGGTGTCTGCTTGTCCCAAAAAGAAAGTAATATGAGACAAAATGACTGCCATGCTGCAGACGTTCCTCATTGACAACTGACCTTTCATCTAGTGATTTCAGTCATGATCCTTGCCCCAATTGTTTTATTTGAACCAGCAAAATAGTAATTTTCTTATTCTATCATTTAACCTTCATTTATTAGCTAGAATTTCCACAGTTAAAAATTTAGTCTTATCATGTAGCATCATTTGACTACCCTATAATTCAATTCTTACAGGAAAGAAAGGATAAATGCTACCTTCTTTCCATTTAATTATCAAGTTTCAAGTAAGGAGTTGATATAAGTTACTCCCAGTGGTGATGAGAGATATTTTATTAATGATTAATGAGAGATGTTTTTATTTAAGATCTCTAAATCAAAATCCCAGAATGCATTTTTCTTGCCACCACCAGGAAAGTGAGTTTAAGCTATTAGTACTTGAAATATATTTTAAAATAACAAAATGTTTCATTTAGTAATAAAATCAGTTTCTTTGAGATACATGTTAAGTATCAGTCACCCAACCTTAAGTACCAGTCACCCACCTTAATATTAAAAAAACTGAAATATTTCTTACTAGCTTGTACTAAGCTACCAATTGAAAGGTAGAAAAATGAAAAAGATATAGACAACATTTATTGGCTATCTTCTACCTACAATCTCATGGAAAGAATTATTATATTTATTTTTTTAGATGAGAAAACTGAAGCTCAAGAAGTTTTTTGTCCAAGGTTATATGTGATAACTGGTGGAACCATGATCTTTTACTGAATGGGTTTATTTACTTATATGTTTGTTTGTTTTTGAGATGGAGTCTTGTTCTGTTGCTCAGGCTGGAGTGCAGTGGCATGATCTTGGCTCACTGCAACCTCTACCTCCCAGGTTTAAGCAATTCTCCTGCCTCAGCCTCCCGAATAGCTGGGACTACAGGTGGGTGTCACCATGCCCAGCTAATTTTTTGTATTTTTAAGTAGAAACGGGGTTTCATTGTGTTAGCCAGGTTGGTCTCGATCTCCTGACCTCGTGATCAGCCCACCTCGGCCTCCCAAAGTGCTAGGATTTTGGCGTGAGCCACTGTGCCTGGCTATTCACTTATTTATTTAAGCAGCCTTATTGAGGTATAATTGATATGCAATAAACTGCACATATTTAAAGTTTACAATTTGGTAAGAAACCATCACCACAATTAAGATAGTGAGCATAGCCATCATCCTCAAAGATTTCTCATACTCCTTCTCTGCCCCACCTTACCCTTTTCCCAAGCAACCACTGATAGGCTTTCTTTCTCTTTTTTTCTTCCTTCCTTCCTTCCTTCCTTCCTTCCTTCCTTCCTTCCTTCCTTCCTTCCTTCCTTCCTTCCTTCCTTCCTCCCTCCCTCCCTCCCTTCCTTTCTCTTTCTCTCTTTCTCTCCTTCTTCCTTCTCCTTCCTTCCTTCCTTCCTCTTTCTTTCTTTCTTTCTTTCTTTCTTTCTTTCTTTCTTT